CCAGGCCACATGATTCCAATGGTGGACTTGGCCAGGCAGTTTGCCAGGCATGGCGTGAAGGCAACTTTTCTCACAACACCCTTAAACGCACCCAAGATTTCCAAAGCCATCGACCGAGAAAGACAACTCGGAAGCCAAATAAGCATCCGATTACTGGAATTTCCTTACAAGGAATCCGGCCTGCCGGAGGGCTGCGAGAACCTGTCCGCCATTACGACTTTGGAGCAGACCCTCAGTTTATTCAACGCCCTCGATCATTTCCAGGGCCCAATTGAGCGGCTCGCGGTGGAGGACCGCCCTGACTGTATCGTAGCAGGCCCGCTGTACACATGGAGCAATGATTTCGCGGCCAAATTTGGGATCCCAAGGCTGAGTTTCTGGGGAACTGGGTTTTTTCCCCTGTGTGTGCATAGTAGTCTCCGCCGCCACAAACCTCACGAGAAGATTGAATCCGACACTGAAGAATTCGTCATCCCCGACCTTCCGGACACCCTGACAACAACCAAACAGCAGATTCCAGAGTCGTGGAAAGACGATCCCGAAAATAGTATGAAAGAATTTCAGGAAAAACTCATGAAAGAAGAAGAAGGTAGCTATGGGATGGTTGTAAACAGCTTCTATGAGCTAGAACCGGCTTATGTAAAACACTGCAGGGAAGTAATAGGGAAAAAGACATGGCACATCGGTCCAGTTTCCTTGTGCAACAAGGAAGAGGGTGAAAAATCCCAGAGAGGTGAAGCGGCGTCGATTGGGGAAGACGAGTGTTTGAATTGGCTCAACTCCAAAAACCCCAATTCAGTAGTGTACGTTTGTTTTGGGAGCATGTCCATCTTCTCCGCCGCGCAGCTGCGCGAGATAGCAGCCGGACTTGAAGCCTCCGGCCAGCCGTTCATATGGGTTGTAAAGCAAAACATGAAAGAGGAAGAAATGAAGGAGTGGATGCCGGAAGGATTCGAGGAAACGATGCAAGATCGAGGTCTGATCATTCGAGGATGGGCACCTCAGGTGCTCATCCTCGATCACGAAGCGGTGGGAGGATTCGTGACTCACTGCGGATGGAATTCTTTGCTTGAGGGAGTAGCGGCCGGAGTACCAATGGTCACCTGGCCGCTATCTGCCGAGCAATTCTTTAACGAAAAGATGGTCAAAAAGATTCTGAAGATCGGAGTTCCGGTTGGTGCTCAGGCGTGGACAAGAAGAACAGACAGCAGGGCGCCCATTAACCGAGAAAACATAGAGATAGCGGTGAAGGAACTAATGATCGGAGAAGAAGCTGAGGAAAGGAGAGGCCGTGCAATCGCCTTAGGAAACATGGCCAAGAAAGCAGTGGAACCAGGCGGCTCATCCGACACTGATTTCATCTCTTTACTGGAAGAATTGAGGAAACACAGAAAGTGATCTGAGGCAAAGCAACAACGTTAGCTCCCAATAATACTGTTTGCTGTTTGCTGTTTGCTGATTAGATCCCTTTGTTTTGTGGACTTGGCTGTATGTGTTATGTTGTTTGCTGGTCCCTTTGTTTTGCGGATTTGGTTGTATTATGTGTTATGTTGTTTGCACACTTAATTTAGTTTTTAGTTATTTTGCTTGGTTTTGTTTGATTTTGCGGGTATTAGACTTTTTTTTTTTTTTTTGGTACAGTGAGTGAATGATAACCTATAACTATATCAAAGGGTGTGTGTTAAGTAAATTTTATTAATGTGTAATTAAATCACACAAAAGTGTTAACTTTGTGTGATAAGATGTGAGTTCATGAAAGATCTCAATTCTTGACAAGAATTAAACTTATGAAATTTTACATGAAAATTGATCATACTAACTCAATTTAAAAAAAAAAAAAAAAAAAAAAAAATTGGGTTCGCTTGCACCTTAGCTTCATCTTGATTCACTCTAATAATGTGATTTATTTTTTTATTTTTTAGAAATTGGATGGGAACATCCCAACAACACTAACAAACTACAATATAGTATGTAAGATCTCAATCCTCATCTATTTTCTCATATGCCAATTTCCCAATAATGTATAAGTTTTTAAATCTATGTTTTATGAGGATAATGAGTTATGGGTTTTGTGACTTTACCATCAACTTCTAGAAGTTGGAGCAGTTTTAAAGCGTGGACTTTAATTTCTATAGATGACAGAAGAAAATGAAGTTCCTCCTTAGCTTGCAGGCAGCTCTGAATGTGGCGTATGTGCTGGGTACCTCGAAGCCTAAGAAACAAGAGAATGAGATCGACTCTTGGGCAACTCGTCGGGGACTCAAATGGGAGAACGATGACCTTGCCTGCCGCAGTCACATACTGAACAGTATGTTTGACACTCTTTGATGTTTATCAGTATGAGGAGTCTTCAAAGGACCTCTAAGACATACTTGAGACAAAGTACATATCTAAGGATGCCTCAACCATGCAATTCCTGGTATGTGAATTTAATGATTATAAAATGGTAGACAATTGTCCGGTCATGCAACAATTTCATGAGATTGTCATGATACTTTGGCAAATAAGGCAGCACAACATACATAGTCGTGTGGGTTTGCGATGCTCAGGAGGCAACCCACACGCGCATACCACACTAGGCCTGCAGGGCAAGGTAGGAGGCCCATGCGTATAGCATATCGGGCCTGCAAGGCATGGTAGGCGGCCCGCATATCGTTCCGTCGCAAAGCATTGGAGGCGACCCGTACCAAAATAATTACAGTTAATACATTATCCCGCTTCCATTACAACACAAGAACCAACCTCCCAAGCCACCCTATCTCTCGTGTATTAAAAGACAAGATGCGCTACTTAACCATGTGAAGATAGATGACATCCAAGTAGTGGGGGACACGTGTATGGCCAAAATTGAATGCTAGCTGATGACGTACATTTGTCAACCATCTGGAAGGTCATCTACACTATAAATAGGCACCCTTATGTCATATTTAGACATCCTGGGTGATTTCTAGTCTTAACCTCTAATCCATACACCAGGTCCCCTATTTTGAGCTGCCGTTTTAAACTGATACCTCGAACTTTGTACGTACTCTTTCGGGTCCCACCCACATTCTGCACATTTCTAATTCCGGACAAAACCATCCATATATTATATATATAGAACCTTAACCTTTGAAGCGGGAAATTAAAGCTTTTATTCAACGTGACAAAAACTTCTAGAGATTGAGGCTGCTACTACGCATATATGGCTAGGCTACGGTATTACTTGTTCTTAATCAAAGTTAAATTCAGCTGGACTTCTTAGTTGATCAAATATGAATCAGATTCCATTCAATCATTTCCGTATAGAATGGCAGACGAATCAAACGGACTCGGATCGGACCTCCAATCACGCCAAAATCAAGAAGTGTAATGAAAATATATGTTCTATATACAACGAACCCGTCAGCAAAGGCAAGTTGGACTGTCGTCTTAACAGATTATTATAAACTCCCCAGTTCTTGATTGTACAATCCACACTTCAATTCAATTCCAAAGAAAAACCTATCATGGAAGCTCAACCTTATTCCCCTCTCCATGTCTACTTTCTGCCTATGTTGGCCCCAGGCCATATGATCCCAATGGTCGACATCGCCAGGCAATTTGCCAGAATGCATGGCGTGAAGGCAACAATACTCACAACTCCCCTAAATGCAGCTCGGATCTCCAGAACAATCCAACGAGACAGAGAACTCGGAAGCCAAATCAGTGTTCGTGTTCTGGAATTCCCTTACAAGGAATCTGGGCTGCCGGAGGGCCATGAGAGCCTCTCCGACACCACAACTTTAGAGCAGACCCTCAGGTTCTTTAACGCCCTCGATCACCTCCAACGCCCAGTTGAGCGGTTTGTGGGGGAAGAACGCCCTGATTGTATCATAGCGGGTTCGAGGTTCACATGGTGCAAGATCATTGTCTTTACGCTACATATATAAGGATGCATTGTCATTTTTATTTAGTCATCATTATTAGAATTTATTAAATAGTAACAAAATTATAGTGCCAAGACTGAAAGGTTGTGCGTTATTGGTTCTTTGTGTTTCAGTAGGTTGAGAAAGTATATGAACAAATATTGACTCTATTACAATGTAGTATCTGTTCATAACTATTTTCTTAACTTGTGCACAAGGTGCTTGGCATTTTTCGTAAATGGCACTTTTTCCCCCTGAGTTATATACCTATAGCATTTTTTCCCCCTAAATTATTGAAGTGGCTGTTTTTTCCTTGAAATGTTAAATGGACATATTTACCCTTAAACTAAATATTTAATTTATTTTTTTTCTCCAACAAATTATGACCATAATTTGGTTCAAACTAAACAAACACTATAGCAACCAAATCGAAATATTCCAATTACAATTTAGAATCGAAATTCGATATTTAGAGTTTATTAAAATCGTGAACCGGAACAGATGGTTCATGTTCCGAATTGAAAAAATAAAATACATTTATTGTTGAATTTAGACTATTTTAAAATAAAAAATAAAATTTTAAAATAAAGACGGTTCAAAATCGCGAATCAGATCCGGAACCGCCGGTTAACGGTTTAAGATTCAATTTTTTTGATACATAATTTTAATAAATTGACATTTAAATATTGGGTTCTAGATCTGAATTATAACCGTAAACTATTAATTCGATTGCTTTAGTATCCGGTTCAATTCAAACGGAACCATGATCATCCCTACGTATACGCAATAATTTGTTGGAGTAGTAAAATAAATAAAATGTTTACTTTAAGGGTATAAATGTCAATTTAATATATCAGGGGGGAAAAAGCACCACTTTTAGAATAATTGAGGGGGCTAATGTGCTTACTTAAATAATTGAAGGGGAAAAAGTGCTATAAGTATATAACTCAGGGGTAAAAAGTGTCATTTTCCTTATATTTAATATCGTTAATTTAAGAAACTTTCCTTAGCTGGTATTGTTTGAAGATAGACAATAGTATTGATTGATTAGAAATTTAGAATCCTAAAGATTATATAGAACGCGTGGAGTCGTAAAATCTGGTACAGAAGGCCCGCACAACGTACAACGCGCTTGAAGCCTGCTCCACTGTGTCTCTGAAACAGTCAACCCAGCAAAAAGCCGCCATTATTGGATTCATTAAAAGCTTGTTTTTACAGCAGTAAAGAAGAAAGACCAAGAACTAACCAGTAAAGTTCCATTCTTTCGTTTTACATGTTCATATTCCCAAGAAAAAAGCCACTGACAGACGAGCAAAATTAAAATTAAAATTATTATTTTGTTTTTTACCTTATATTTACTGTAATTAATTACGGAGGGAGTAATTTTTTTGTATGGTTATCCCATAAAAGCGGTTGGTTTTAGCACAGCGAGATGTCGTCAAGCAAACATAAACCAAATTCTTCGTCCGGGGCCTCTTCCATGTCGATTTCTAGCATCCAAGGTCAACTTCTCGAAGTTACCGGTAAATTATTATCCTTTTTTCATTCAATTCTCTCGTTCTCTCCGTCGGATTTTGATTTCTGAATTTGCGTTTTGGGGGAATTGCAGTCGTTTCTTGTCAAAAGTTGAAGGACACAGAATGGATCTCCAGGCAAGATCCCTATGTCTGCCTTGAATATGCTAGCACAAAGTTCCGGACGCGTACCTGTACTGGTACTCCATTCATCGTTGCCGTGGTTCTGAATAATGATTCTGCGTGTTTCTGGATTTATGTGAAATTGTTGAATTTGTGTTTGTGTAGATGGGGGGAAAAGCCCTACCTTCCAAGAAAAATTCGTGTTTTCAATGATTGAAGGCTTGAGGGAGCTGAATGTTGTTGTCTGGAATAGCAATACAATTACCTACGACGATTTCATTGGCAGTGGAAAGTAATGAATCCCATTATTCATTTCTCATTCAATTGTTTAGTTAGTAAGTTTGAGGTTTTATCTGTGTCTTCTTCACTGAGAATATTCATCACTGGATGGTAATTGTTGTTTTAGGGTTATACTCCACAGAGTTCTCTCTCAAGGCTATGATGATAGCTCTTGGCCACTCCAAACAAAGACTGGCAGGTAAATTGATTAAAGCTTCTACTCTCTTCTAGTTTTCTTTAAGAAATATCCATGTCTCTGTGCGTTTGTGTATTTCTATTCGTGTGCTAAATCTGTGGGGACATTCGATGCCTATGAAGTATTTTGGGGCGTTTATGTAGTGCTTGGTTGAATGAAGTACTTATGTATTATGGACTGTGATTTAGCACCGAGGTTAAATGTGTGAATGTATGGCTGGACTTTTCACCTTGCCCATCATTGACTACAAATATATGATAGTTATGGGGAAGGGGTGGTTAGAAGGTCTTTCTTTCTTAGTGTTGTTGTTTCGAGATTCTGGTAAGAGTTTCGACAATTAAAATTGGTAATCATGAACTCAAGCACTTGTGGGTGGTAATGTAATCAGAAATCAAGCATGTACCTTTTTACTTCGATTCCCTCTCAAGTCTTTTCCAATGGCTATACTCTGACGAGGGGGAATGTTCATAATCTCCACTTTCTCTGAGGTTGAGATATCATTTTAGAAATGTGTATATCTCGTTGAGCTAAATTTGGTTCCATATGTCTTTGCAGTGTCCTTGAAGTCATGTTGTGTTTTTTCTTTTTAACTCTGGGGTCTTATTTTCCAGCACACTGGAACAATATACCTGAAACTGATTAATACAAATATCAAGGGAACTGTTTTCCGTGAGAATCTGACAACAGTATGTCATTCATATGCCTCTTTGAGCATTATAGTTGGCATGCTGGAATCACTCGTTTAGGACATTCTGTTTATTTCAACTCTAAGAGTGGTTTTTGGCATCTCAAGTATCACAATTCTTTTCTTATATCTGTGGTTTCATGATTAGTAGGTGCCTATGGTCTAGTTCTGCTGCTAGTGGTTTTGCAATGACTACACAATTTCATTGTTTATAATTCGAGTCATTTTTGGTTTTCAAGTTTATGTTCGTGAGCGGTAAGTGGATGTCTTTATAATCTGTTCAGCCCACCACTAGGATAGTGTGATGTTACCACATTCGGAGGATTTTTGGCAGGCTTGGTTGAATGGCAGAGTTTTCTAAACTGAAAAGTTGGGGATCATTTTCATGCAAGTGTTTCATTTGCCACTTTATCTTTTTTAATATAGAGCAATATGTATAGAAACAATACGGTGAACTGAACTACTGAAGATTGTATGTACCACCACATTTAACATCGAGAGCCCTTATTATTTTTTTGCTTCAAACAGAAATGCAGGAGAAGTTCGGCTGATAATGCACTATGCAAATGCTAATGTGAGCAAGCCTTCATGTTTTGCGTTATAATTGTTTTATCCCAATTGACATTTGTGACTCACTTGTGCTCCTCTGCTATTAATTTCAGAAGCCGGCAACAAGCTACGCTCCATCTGCTCCTCCCTATATTCCACCACCGGCACCACAAGCAACTCTCCATTCTGCCCCACCGCCACATATGGCCTCCTATCCAATGCCTTCCCCTTATCCAACACCATCTCCGTACTCAACACATCCTTATCCAGCACCGTCTCCTTACTCTTCATACCCTCCTCAGCCAGCCGCCTATCCTCCACCTCCTCAACCGGGTGCTTACCCACCGCCTTACACAACACCTTCGGCATATCCTCCCCCATCATATCCACCACACATGTACGACGCATCGTATTACCCCCCAGGTACCTTAACATATTGCATTATTATCTGTAGTTTGATTTGCATTCTTCAGCTGCAGCTAATTTTTGCAACTTTCTAACAGGTCATTATCCCGGAACCTACCCTCCACCCCCGCATTACTGAGAGGAAAGTCGTCATGCATGTTTGAATCAAGTTTGTAGATGTACAAAGTTGTTGGGTGGCAAGTATATTCATCTAATTAACTTCTCAGATGCTTGTGGTTACATGTTTCATAGTAGTTGGTTGATGAAACTGTGGATATGCTGTAGTTTCCCTGCTCAAAAGAGAAGCAAGATATACATATATCCTTTGGGCAGTCTTTTGAAACCAAGTTTGTTGGGTTTTATTATGTATTTGTTCAGGAATTTTCATTGGCAGCCAAGTTTCTTAAGGAATATCTATCTTGATTCACTATGCACCATGCAAAACATATTGTTTAATGTATGATTGGAGGATTGGACCAACAATATAAATACAGATTTGAACATATGGGATTATAATTATAATCATTTCAGCCACCACCTAATTTCACTTGATATTGACTTGTCATGGGTCAAATGAGAATGCTTTCGGTGTTCCACTTTCATCTACCATCTTTCTCACTGTCACTTTCATCTACCATCATTTTATTTTTTTGTTCAATCTATATGCCTAATCCGTTATCTAGTGAATTTACATCCTATTGTGATAAAAACAAGAGATATTAAGCCTCCCATAGTCATTATTCAAAGTCTACTATGTTATTTGATGGAATGAATGGGATATATATTAATGTATTATGGGTTAAACACGTAGTACTAATCTTAATTATTATATTATGTGCGCAAGTAAAGTAATTAGTGGCGCGACGACATTAATTCTGGCGATATGGTCCTACGTAGTATCTAACAAACAGTAGTTGTACAAAATTAAAAGTGGGAGAAGAAATGATTGAATGCATTTCAAAAAGGCAACATGGTCCGCGGCTATTCTGGACTGAATCTCCACACACAAACATTATCGGTCTTCTTGAGAGCGGTGGCCCCATTTTGACTTTCGAACAGAATTATGCATGCAAACAGCTGTATGCATGCATATCTCTCTCTTTGCTTAGTTTCAACTGTTTCTTGTTTCTTTTTCAATTTGATAATAATATAATTAAGGACACAATTACGCTAATAAACGAGGCATTATCACCTGAATTATTGTTTTCCGTAACTACCTTACTACCTTAGCTTGCTGGGTTTTTTCCTTGTCGGGCGTTTTGGCTGCCCACATGCCCGCACTATCAAACTCTTCAACCATGGCAATTATATCCAGTCACCCCACATCTTATGAAACTGTACTCATTTCGTTGTTTGAATATTAGTTGAGGAAATGGAATATTCTAACTATCTTTGTGAACTTGATAAAAGACTAATTATTATTTTTATAAAAACAAATAATTAAAGAAGTTGGTTAGGGCTTAAAAGGATTGTGTATGTATGTTCTCGGTGACAAACTTCAAGCCTTCAACCCTATTTTCAGTTAGGTGGTAGACACAAGTCTCCTATCCTTGTTCTTAGTTAAGTCATAAGTGACAAATAATAAGTCCTCGCGTAATAGAGCGATGACCCGAGAGCCCTGACATTAAGTAGAAATTTGTCTAGTTAGCCCATTTTAGAGTGGACTTCGAGCAGGTATCCTTTGGGACCATCCTCGACCAAGGAACTTAGACATGGACAAGCGTGGCTGACATTTAATATAACACTTGGAATTACTTATTTTGTCATTATTTTAGCCATTAAGTATTGATGTCACATTCTTTTTTTTTTTCCCTAAAAAACATAGTAATTCTCACATTGAGCTTCACTATATTTTAATTTGTACTTGACTTAAAGGACATTCGTTAGTTTACATTGGACCGATCACAATAAAACTAACAAAGAGTAGTATTGATATGATTCCTGATTCACATAAAGATCGTAACATTAACACATTTATTATTTAGGATTATATGTAACTGATAAATTTTGGTTCAATTAATCGAGATTTATTTGGATATAAAGAAAACCCAATTATCATGACTATGTGGTCTAATGATACTCGGGTTGGATTTCCATTTGGAAGGTTACGAGTTTGAGCCTCAGTGGAGACGTTATTGGTTCTTTGTGTCTCAGTAGGTTGAGAAAGTACAATGTAATAGGGCCAGTAACATTTAAAAAAAAAAAAAAAAAACCAATTGAAACAAATTTTCAACTACTAATAATTAGTGCCACCAAACGTAAAAGATCAGAGGCGGTTGGCGTGAGGGAGTAGTAAACTTTTTTTCCTCTTTTTTTCTCCCAAAAAATTGAATCTTGAATCCCGAAGACTCCTCACACCGCAGCTTGACAAAACATTTGGAATGATGTAAATCACAGTCAATCACTTAATAGATAAGACTAAACTTCAATGTGCACAAAAAATATGTCAATTTTAAACATAATTCTCACACTGCCACAGCCGTCGAAGTTCTAAAATTGTTTTATTATAGTTATCTTGCCAACCAGCCATTGCCAATATTGCCTTTGGTTGGTGCCGCAGGATACTTAACTTGGAAATGGTATAACAGGCTGTATGCATTTGAGAAAGCGACATTATTAATATAATAATTGGTTAATGGACCGACCTTAGTTATATTAGCTAGGAAGATGGAATTAATTATTATTGTTATTATTTTATTGCTGAGTTCCATTATATGCTCCTACTATTTTCTTAGGACAACTATTATTGTAACTAGGGCGATTATTATTCTTTATTATTTCTTATTAGTCCTCATTATATTATATTATACATCTCTATGACAAGAAATTTAACAACCAAATGCATAGGATATTAACTTAGCAGGTAAAAATATTAGAATGGACCACCAATTATAATGATTTCATTATTTTAGTTATTAACTTTCAATTTCATTTAATATTTTTCTCTATTTTTTTTAGTATTACTGTCTCTGTTACAATTTAATATCTATTTATAACTACTTTTTCAATTTACTGAAAAATCTACTGAAACACAAAGAATCAATACTGCGTCCACTGGAAATCGAACCTATGGCCTTCAATTCGGGAGAGCCACTTCGTGCCGCTAGTTTGTATGTATGTTAATTCTCCATGTGGACTATTTTGTTCAATTTGTACCTATTTTATTTGTCTGAATAACTAAAATAGTTCCAAATTTGATAATAATTACATTAAAGATGAAATGGGAAGTCAAGGATATATATCAAAATAGTGAAATTCATATACTCAAAGGATTAGTTTGATAATTTAATCTTTACATAACTAAAAAGAGGAAATTTCAAATTTGGTCCTATGACTATAGGGGTCTAATTAATTTCGGTCCTTGACTTTTAAAAGTGTCAATTTAGTACCTTAACTATGTGATTTTTGTCAATTTTGGTCACTCCGGTCAAATTACCGACCAAATTTCGCCAAAAAATTTTAATTGTTAAAATAATGAGGGTATTTTGATTATTTCACGTCTCTTTTCATCTTCCCAGGCGAGTTCATCCCTTCCTCTCCTGTTTCCGTCGAATGAAATGAACTAAGATAATGAGGAAAGGAGGCTTGATGATATTAAAGATAGGATTTACAGGGAGAAAGAACGTCGAAAACGGGAGAGAAAGGGATGGACTCGCCGGAGAATAAGAAAAGAGGCGTGAAATGACCAAAATACCCTTATTATTTTAATTATTAAAATTTTCCAGAAAAATTTAACCGACAATTTGGTCGGAGTGACTAAAATTGACAAAAATTACATAGTTAAGGTACTAAATTAACACTTTTGAAAATTAGAGACTAAAATTAAGAATACCCCTAAAGTCATATGGCCAAAATTGAAATTTCCTCTAACTAAAAACACCAGAGTACCAAACAATACATGTATGAACGGGCTTGCTACTTGCACGAATCATTAAGAGTATAATATCTTTTTTGACTCACTTTTTAAGGAGATTCGGTCAATCAGTCCCTATTATTCGTAAACGTTACAGACATGATTAGATAATATTATTTCTCGTGATTCAAGTAATCAAGTATAAATTTCTTTGACGGAGGGTAGGAGCATGCAGGATGAGAGGGATTTCGTATTTTGTGGGGTATGGAAATATCATGCAATAAATACGCGGTTACAACTATATTCTACAAACAAACATCGAGTGGCACGCGATTAACTTCATGGACACTGGATCTGGTCTAACTTAATAATGAAACATTATCACGGGCTGCAAAGCCTTAACACTAAACATGATTAAATCATTAAAATATTTTCAAACATCTAATGATCTTTGCCCCCACAAAGACCAAATTCGCTGTCCTAACGGCCCCACACCCCAGACATGATAATGAAGAAATAAACCATAGTGACTCAACAATCTCTTAAATTGAGGATTAGTACGATGTGTCAGTCTAGAGTTGTCAAAACGAGTTGGCCTGTCACATGTTGGGGAAGAAACGAGCCGGGCTCGAGCCGGCCCGTTTCAAATTCATGTTGGGATTTTTTTACCCAACCGTCTAACCCACTTTCCACCCCAGGTCAGATGGGCCGGGCCCAAAACGGGCCGGGTTGAAAAAAAAAATGTTTGCATGACCTGTCAAGAACTCAGGTTAGACGGGCTAAAATCAGTAGGTTGGACTCGTTTTGACGGCTCTAGGTGTCATAAGGAACCCACCACGTACATTTGACGCAACTATCAAACTATAATTATCCAATTTCAATCATAATTTGGTGTAACTATGACATTTTGACCACTAGTCTTTGTTAATAATCTGTCACCTATAAAACAAATAAGCTACTCATGTGTGCAACATCTAATGATCATGCATGCATGCATGCCTGTCTACTACCTATCTGTACCACTGTTATGCGTCTGTGCTATCACTGCCAAAACTCGATGAACATATACATGTCGAGTGTGAAAGAGGTTCCACTTTTCCCAACAGTCTCTCTGCTTCCTCCATATATCCACCATTTTAAACCCATTTTTTGTGACATTTAATATTAAATGTTTTGTCAAACATAGTCACTCACATTATTATTTACGGCTACATATGTAATAGCGTTTAATGAATAATGTTATAATAATACTTGTTAAGACACAGCTGGTCATGCATTATGATCACGTCTGCAGTTACACAAAAAGTAATATCATTAATGGAACCTGGCCCCAAGATTACCGTAATTAGATATAATTTTATGATTCTTGACAAATAATATTACAACATAAATGAATTATATATATATCATCGTAATTTAGAATAATTTATACTATATTATTATAATATATTATATATTATTATAATTAAAAAGGAAAATGAAAATTTTCGTTTCCCAAAGATATTGTTGTCATTGCTTATAAAATGACTATTTTAAATTCAATCTAAATAAGATTTAGTGACAAAAAAAAAAGATATTTAAAGGACGAAAAATGATAATGAGTATTGTTGAGCATATAATCATTAATGTACCATTCAACTATCAGGTTAGCCCTTTAGTTGAGATGGAGAACATGTTTAAATTTTGTTTCAACTTTTAAATTGTTACAATTCGGGGCCCAAGTTAACCAAATTTTGAAAGTTGAAGGACCATGTGTGGTAAACTTAAGACCAGGGTTGTAAAAATCCCGCCTAGGCACTGGGCGCCCATAGGCCGTGGCGATTTCCGCCCTAGGCTCCCGCCTAGGAGACCGGCCGCCTAGGCGCCCGCCTAGCGCCTAATTCAGTCGCCTAGCGCCTAACTCGTCCGATTACACCGAGTTAACTCGTCAATTTCTGTCGAGTTAACCCGACCAACTCGACCTTGCTAATTTTTTTCATTTATATGACAAATACATATAATATGACATATATACACTTGTAGACTAGTTTGATACTTTCAATCTTTGGATGATTGAAGTATTTGGGTATTTCATTTGAGTTTTTATTTTTCTAATATTCTTTTGATGTTATGACTTATGAATTGTCATTATGTCATTTATTTGGATGTGTTATTTGATTGAATGTTGAAAACAGCCTCATTAAAATTGTCAAATTGCAAGTCTGCTACTGTTTTTTTCGCGACCGCCTAGGCGCCGACTAGGCCGCTTAGGCGCTAGGCGCTGCCCGGGCGCCCGACTAGCGCCCAGCGCCTACTGCAACCATGCTTAAGACTAAACATGACTAAATCATTATACTCGGAGGATCTCATATGACATTAACTCTGTTTTTTGGTTTTCAATGTTATAACATGTTGCCATATTTTTATTGTGGTGTAATACATAAATATGAAAGGATATCCCCAAGAGAATATATGGGCACAAAGTGAAAAAGAAAAAGAGAAGAGAAGAAAAATAAAAAGAAAAGAAAAGTAGGAGGGGTGGGGGGTTGCAAAAGCAAAGCAAAGCCCCCAAGCAAAAATCATGTATATATCTTCTCCTTCCAGTATTGAGTCTTCCACTCTTTCCAGTTCCCAACCTTGAAAGAAAGGACAAGCGTGACATACCATTCTGATAAAATCTCCTCTTTTCTTTCTTTATCTCTCTCCCTCTCTTTTTTTTATTTATAGAGGACCGAGTCTTTCACTCTATTCTCTCCTTGATTGACTCTTCCACACCCCCATTTCTGCTGCACAAAACCAGAGGGGAAAGAAAAAAAAAAAAAAAAAAAAGAGAGAATATTATTGAGGAAGAAAATGGGGAAAAAGACTAGTCTTAATCCTCTCACTTTTCTTTTCTGCTTTGTTGTTTCCGTATAATGACCAGCCTACATTTGCCTCTTCTTCTTGGAAGAAGATGGATGCCGGTTGGCCATTAACGTCGTTAGATGCTCTTTACTGCGAGGAAGAACGATGCGGGGAGGTTTTGGACTGGGACAGTGAAGGGTCCGAGGTTTCTGAGATTACGAGGAAGGAGGATTCCCCTGCTTTGTTCTTGTTGGATCAGGATTTGTTGTGGGAAGACGATGAGCTTCTCGCCCTTTTCTCTAAAGAATTAGAGACCCGTTTGATGTTCGAGGCGTCTCTGTCGCTTCCTCGTACCCAGGCTGTCCGGTGGATCCTTAAGGTGAATGCCCATTACGGATTCTCACCGTTAACTTCCATCCTCGCCGTTAACTATCTCGACAGGTTCCTCTCCGGCATCGAGTACCAGGAAGACAAGCCATGGATGATTCAACTTGCCGCCGTCGCCTGCGTTTCCTTGGCTGCAAAAGTCGAGGAAACCCATGTTCCCCTGCTTCTCGACTTTCAAGTAAACATTATATTCCACGAGCAATTTTCCCCTTCATTTGATCGCTGTTTTGAAACATTCTTGATTTTCCGGTGGCAGGTGGAGGATGCTGAGTTCGTGTTCGACGCCAAAACCATACAGAAAATGGAGCTCCTCGTGCTGTCCACCCTGAAATGGCGGATGAATCCGGTGACGCCGCTATCGTTTCTCGATCACATCACGCGCCGCCTCGGGCTCAAGAACCATCTCCACTGGGAATTCTTCACCAAATGCGAAAGCCTCATTCTGTCTTTCATGCCTGGTAGTTAATTATATCTCTCGTTGACCCAAATTATTACAGTCCTTTTTGTTCGGTGTAATTAACAAAATCTACGTTTTCCATTATTATTTAATAATGTCCCAGATTCAAGATTCGTACGTTTTCTGCCGTCTGTGCTGGCCACTGCCACCATGCTTCACGTTATTCATCAACTTGAACCCAGCAACGCAGTTGACCACCAAAACCAGCTTCTGGGTGTTCTCAAAATCAATAAGGTCTGTAAGTTTCCGACATTTCATTCATTTTTTCAGATACTGGAACTGTGATGATTGTTCAATGAGAATGCGTGACTATATTCTTGTTAAAGATTGAATTTTTTTTTTCCCCTTCATTTCGGGTATGTGAAGTGTGAATAGGGATCCGACAGGGCCACTAGATTCAACGTTGGCCCAGAAAAAAACAAACAAAATATTACAAACAACATTAAATAAGTGTTAATTAGTGCCCAACAACTTCCCTTAACATTTGCCTTTCTTGTTTTCTTGACGACACTTTAACTTAGGTACAGACAGAAGCAAATTGACTAAAAACTGCTCTCTTTTTCTGGTGTTTTTCATTCTTTTTTTAGTTATGAGATAAATTTAAGGTTGTTCATAGCTGACCGACTCAAATCAATACGTCTAATAAGTTGTTTGCACTAAGAATCTAACTTAAAACTTTATGGTTACAGGAGAAAGTGAATGATTGTTACGAGCTGATCAAAGAGGTGTCAAGCACTGCTTCAAACAAGCGGAGTTACAATCCGAGCAGCCCCAGCGCGGTGGTTGACGCGGTGTTGAGCTGCGGCGAAAGCTCCAACGATTCGTGGGGATCGGAGACGCCGGCGCCGGAGCACCGCCGGCCGCTCTACAAGAGACGGAGAGTTGAGGAGCAGCAGATGAGGCTGCCGCCATTGATGACCAGAGTGTTCGTGGACGCCGTTGCCAGCCCGCGTTAAAGCCAAAGTTTAAGCTCTCCTCAATTTTAATTTTGTTATTATATATTATTATTATGTCGCGATGGTGATGGGCTCGGTGGTCGGAGAAAAGGAGGCGGTTGCGCCGCCGCACCGCCGCGGTGGTTATTTTTCCCTCTTACCTCTTACCACCCTGCCTGGCCTACCTCAAGTCCCTTTCATGCATCCTCTTTCTGGACATATTTTTATATTATTATTACCGTTTACTATTGTTATGATAAAAATAATTTTAAAAAATGTTATTTAATTTATCTGGATTTTTGGGAGCATTCTCATTTGTCAATCTACCGTAGATTTCTTCTTTAAATGCTTTTTCGTTCTTGAATATTTGGTTTGGTAGGTATGATTTTGACTACTGGGATCGGTACTAGTATAAATCAAGTATAAAAACGAAAATTGTTTGGTGAACTCTTTTGGGAATGTTCACTATTTCACCGGTGAAATAACATTGAATAGCTGCTCACATGAGAAGCTCAATTGGTCACATCGTTAAAAATTGATGATAATAACTTGAGATTGAGTCTTATTAGCGACAGTGTGAGACTAGCCTTTCAAAGTGAGGGGCTCTTTGTGCACAGTAAGTAAATGTTTAGCTTCTTTAATTAGTTGATTTATCATAATTTACATCTTCTCAGATGTTCTGTCAGGTCAGAACATGAGAGTCCTTAGAATTCGAGATTCAACTTTTTAGGAACAAAAAAAATAATGTTGAATAGTATAAATAATATTAAATGAATTGTAATATATACTTTATTATTTATAACATTCAATATGATTAGATGATAGAATAAAGGGTATAATATATTTGTAATTTTAACAAAATTAAGAGAATTGTATATTATTTGAGGGGTGAGGACTATGTGCTCTGTGCTCGTCCTTGGCCCTGACCACTATCCTTGTCTTTGGCCAAGTGTTTGGCATTGACACGGTCAACTTGAAATCAGAAGATGCATTTTCTCATCTGTGAAAAGTGAAACTTGGATAAAAAAATTTAACCTTATTTTGTGGGAAAAATAAATTACTTTACAAATAATTTGTGATTTTTTTTTTTAAATAAGAAAAGCCAAGGGTATAATTGAGAGAAAAAATGCTATTTTAAAAATAAATTAGAGACAAAATTTATCATTTCCTTAATTTTATTTGAAGTAGGTTAATTATAATAATCAGCTTAATAATATGAATAATACGGCAATATAAAAGGAAGATATAGTGTAAGCTTGCAAAGGGAGGGACAAAGTACAATTGATTGGACAATTCACCATTTATTTTCTTCATTATTCTTAGGCAAGAATTCTAATAACTTAAAATTAGTCTAGTCTAAACATAAAAACTTAATATATCATTACAGTTTGGTGTTTTAATAATTTGGAGAGGTATTCTTTTTTTTATTTTTTGTAAAAATCACGACAGAAATTTGTAACCAATTATCTAAGAGCGTATATTAGATAAACTTTATTAATGAGTAATAGACTATAAGTTACAAAGTACAAATAAACTATAAAAAAAAAATTATGTGACAAACTTAATTAAAAAATTATTATTAAAAATTAAACTCGCTTCTAATCCGAAAATAATGCTTTACACATTCAATTACTTTTTTCGAGATATTTTGTAGAGGTTTTTGGAGTTTGGTTGATAGGAGGAAGTCAGACTCTCTGCATGGGAGACTGTTGATTTCAGAAGGAAAGTTTGTTTGATTGCTTTGACCTCTCGCTACACGTTAATCTTTTTATTCATTAAACAATCAATTATTGTACTCCCGTCATAATTGGTTAATGCGGAAACGGTATATATATATATATATATATATATATATATATATATATATATATATATAAAAGAGTACATGTACTTCCTAATTTTATTCCTTAAATTTTACTTACTGATGTGACGAATTCTGATAAGTATTTCTTTCATGTGAGTCCCAATACCAGTGTCTACATCAAAGGTTTTGTGTGTGGGACTGTGGGAGTATAAAACGGGAGTACATGTAGTATTTGTCATATATAAATGGTTCCCGTGTGATTGGCCTTCTTAGGTGTAGTTGCTTATGTGCATGGTTTTTCTTCTTAAGATGCGTGGTTTGTGTGTTTAAGGTGCATCAGTATTGAAACTTAAAGTGCGTTAACTAAAGCTTTATGTGTGTAGTTTTCCTTCTTAATGTGTGTTGTTTTTCTTCCTAAGGTTTGCGATTTGTATGCTTAAGGTGCGTCAGTTGTTGAACTTAAGTACGCCATTTTAAAACTTTAGGTGAGTGGTTTGTGTTCTTAATTTCCTTTGTTTGTGTGCTTAAGGTGCGTGGTTTGTGTACTTAAAATGCACCATTTTAAAATTTTAGGTGTATGGTTTGTTTTGTTTTAATTTGTTTGTGTGCTTAAGGTGCCTGATTTGTGTATTTAACATGCGTCATTTAAATGTTTAAAGTGCGTCAACCGCACGAAAAACTATATCTACACCTGAATCTTTCAACAATTGACACACCTTAAATATTTTATTCCTAATTATTATTATATTTTCTAGTATAAGTATTACATTTAATTTTGACCTAACCCGTCTCATGAACGAAGATCCCTAAGACGAGCTCACTCAAGTTTTTGTCTTGTTTAAAGAATGTAGTAACGTCCTACAAACGCCAAGTCGCATGATTATTGGACTTTGCGGCACCAGTATGATGAAACAAAAAGAAATTAAAAACAAAAAGAGAAGAAAAGAAAAAGGTCATTATCGTCATTTAATTGCGTGGTGGACAACATCATCACAACAGTAATCTTTCTTGGTTTCTTTCCAAGGTAGAGAGACCTAAAGCGAAAAAGGGCTTTGCCACTGTTTGGTGACATTATTATTATTATTATTATTATTATTATTATTATTATTATTACTGATTTTAATATAATGTAAGTAACTGTTCATAACTATTTTTTCAATCTATTAAAATATAAAAAATCATTACCGCTCTCACTAAGGTTCAACCCATGACTTCTTATGAGGGTCATATGAAAAGAATTTTTTTTTGTTTTTTTTTGTTTTTGTTTTTTTATAACGAGAGAAATCTATAATACTATTAGAGGGTAAGGATGTAAATTATTAAATTAGGTAAACTCTATTATTATTCTATAATAACATAAATTATATATGAGAGGTAAGTGGTAAGCCACACTAGAAGATTCAATATAATAGGCTCAATTGAAAGAATTACCATCAATATCTATCCGTAATTGCTTATTTTTTACACGTGCAAACAAATATGTAAACAAAAACAATTACCTCCTTTATCTACAAAAGAATTACCATAGTGAAATAAACATAAAATATACAAAAACAATATTTAATGGGAGTAGATGGTACTATGCAAGAAGGGACAAGCTAAGTAAAATTTTAATACTGTAATGGGGAAGTCCAAAAACAATACAAAAGAACAAATTTGGAATGGGATTTTGAAAATGGTTTGTGGGGGGACAAAATCTTTGATTTTTATGGGAGATGTTTTGGGGCCCACTTTTGTTCCTCAACATCAACATAATATAAGAGTAATATTTTTTTAAGTTACAAGAAAAATATTTTACTATTATCGGATGGTATACATTAAATAAATGTTTTAGATAAATTATATTAAAAAATTATGTATAAATGAATTTGACTAAAAATAATATTAACAAGAATTAAATTTGTGAAATACAAAAATTATAATTTATATACTTGATCATCTTTTATGGGACAACATAATATAATCCTTTGGTTTTGAGGTTGGAACCCAATTTCATTTGGTATCATAAAACAGCATTACATGATGCGTGCTAGCAAGTGATCATCATTGGTGATGATTTCTCCACACACACAAAAAGGTGTTTATGTTTTTTCAACTCTCCAAATATGATGAGGTCAATTCTTCCCCACAGACCAATTATTGCAGAATAATACGTATTACTTTATATATACAACCAACAATGTCAATATCAAAAAATAATAAGTGTATAGTAATAAAATTTCAGCCACTTATTCTAACAGGGCGTTTGGTTGGAGAAGGGAAATTACGTGGGAAATGAATTGCAATTCCATGGGGATGAATTAGTAGGAATAAAGTGAGAATTTAAATTTCAATGTTTGGTTTACAAGAACAGAATTACTGGAAATTTCAATTCCAATGTTTGGTATACATGAGAATTGAAAAGGAATAAGTAGTATAAAGTCCAACATGTCCATTGTTATTGTCAGTAATTAATTTTGGGTTAAAAAAGAAAGGGGTAATTTTAACTCATCACTATCTTTTTTTTCTTCCTAAATTCTCAAGAATTAAAATCCCAGGGGGGCATGAGATTTTAATTCCATGAAAATGGAGGAATTGCAATTCCTTTCAACCAAACAAGGAAATTTTGAGGCCTTTAGAATTATGTGGGAATTAAGTGGGAAGTGAATTTAAATTCCCTTCAACCAAATGCCCTGTAATTGTTTAAGAGAATAAATGAAAATATCGAGTATGACATACTAATATTAAAGTCCAAACTCTTACCTAAGTACTTGTATGATACTTTTTAAGAGTTTTTTTTTTTTCCTTCTCATTTTTGGTCACTCGATTATAATACCCCTCCTAAATTAGGTTCTTAACTCTCAAGATTTCTAATTTTGGTGCATAACTATTCAATTGTTTTCATATTTGGTCTCTCGTTCAATTTGCCAGCCAACCTAACCCAAAAAAGTTTTAAAAAAAAACAGGTACTGACAAGTCGAGCTGTGTGTGTTTTTCCCTGACTTCAGTTCCCTAGCAAATTGAATGAGGAATCAAAAACTAAAAAACAAGATACTGAAAAGTCAAAAGATGTGTTTTGTGTGTGTGTGTGTTTTTTTTTTTTTTTTTTTCGGTTTAAGTTGGCCAGCAATTTGAATGAAGAGCCAAATGTATAAGTAATTGAATAATTATGTACTAAAACTGAAAAAAAAAATTATAATTAAGAGCTTAATTTTGAAGGGGTATCATAGTCAAGCTAAGAGACCAAAAGTGACAACAAAAAAAAATTATTTTAAAATTGTATGTATGGTAAATGGAACAACATATTAAAAATAAATTGAATAATTGATATATATAATATACAAAACTTGTTGTGGTGTACATATTCTGATCTGGGATTTTGGTGATCTTTCTTGACCTCATCTGTGATGTGCATCCCATCCGCTGGCGGAGTGTTATTGTTAGTTGCATTAATAAAGCAAAAATGGATTCACAGCAAATCTTCCTTTCACCATAAAGCGTTAAT